GGGCTGGGCAGTGAGACATGTCCGCTGATCCCTGAGTGGAGCCTGGACGGCCAGTCATGAGAGAGAAGGCTGGAGAGAAGAGGTGAGGCGGTGTGGACTTTCCCACGGAGACCACTGTTTTTCAAAGTGTGGCCTGTGGGACAACTGGGCTGATACTGAAACGTGGATCCCCGACTTCCCTATCAGACCTGCTCGCTGTGAATCTCCGGTGGATGTGGCCCAGGACTCTGCATTTTATCAAAACGTCCCCAGGTCACCCAGATACACATCCGGGTTTGAGAAGGAAGCATGGCTGGAGGCCAAGGCTCAGCACGCCAAGCGGCGACGGAGCGAATGCTTTAGGCTTCGCGCACTCCGTGGTCCCCATTGCAGTTTTTCCCTTTACGATCTTGTAAAAATATAAAAAACCACTCTTTGCTCGCTGGCCGTACAGAAAAACAAGCTGTGGGCCAAATGTCGCCGTCAGAGGCGGCGAGGAACCCCTGCGGGTTTTTGAGCGAGGCCTCGGCGCGCAGGGCTCTCGAAGCAGCCGGCCGCCTTAAGCCGCTCATCCGCCCTCCCGCCTTCTCGGTTCCGACAGCTCCGCTGCCCCCAGCCTCTGTCCCACGCTGTCCTTTCCCTCTCTTGTGCCTTGATTATGTCAGTCTGTGTCCCCAGACCCCCGGGGAAACGTGGAAGCAGCACTCACCCATGCGGGGGAGGGGAGGGACGGCCTAAGCTAATTGCACTGAGTAAGCCACGGAAAGGCGTGCTGCACGCAGGATCTGGTGGAGAAACAGTGTGGGTGCCTGCGACGTTGCACACGGAAAGCACACGGGAGGGCTGGGCTACATATCTGAGCGACACAAAGAAAGCGGCAGATTCCGATTGCTCTGTGAGTTGGTATCTGTCTTGGTGAAAAATTCAGTGTTACTTCATCCGGAGAGAAGCACCAAGACTGAGCTCTAAGTGCAGATCTCACTTAGACGCTGTGGCAGTGGCCTGGGGTAGGCTCCTGGGCGCTGGAGTGAACACTCGGTAAGGTCTCCACTTCTTAGCATTCTCCACCAGAGCTTTGCTACTGCAGGACAGGGGGAGACAAATTACAGGAACCTGGTATTTTAAAGCAGCTTCATCAGCAAAGGAGGAATTATAGCAGTTAAAATAAGCTCTATCTACTTTCGGATTCTCAATTAGGAAAATTTCAATCGCGACAGGTATTTCTTCCTTTACCAGCTGCCTAGAAGCAACTTTACCAATAAAAATCTGTTGTCCTAGCAGCAAAGCACCTTTGAAAGCGAAGGACTTACCATCTCCATGGTGCAGATCCAAATCCACATAGAGAATACGGTCAAATTTCCGTCGCAACCGTAATATTCCCAGGACAGCATCATTGAGATAACAAAATCCAGATGCTTCATCTCTGCAAGAAAATAAGTCGCTACAGCCAACGGCCGATGGCAATCCAAGGGCATCTCTACGCCAAGGGTCTAACCCTTACGATCCCCCTGAAGAAAAACAAAACTACCTACGAAGACTGGACAGTAAATGCCTCCAAATGATTGGGCAATGAAGTGTTCTGGCAAGCTACATATCGAGGTCAATGTCTAATGTTTTCCCTTCACCAGATTCCCAAAGCATTACAGTTTCATAAGCATATTCGCCAAAACAGAACCTTTCTCTAATGATTCAGGAAAAAACTGTAGTACCCTGGGCTCATCATAATGACAGTGAGTATCACTTCTAGGACTCTAAGAAAGCTAGAATCTAGATGTAGAAGATGTCGGAGAATGCGTTCTCTGTACTGACCCTATGACATAGCCTAAAGTTTGGGGGGTTTTGAGTAACTCTTGGCACTTGTTGCTCATAAAAGCGGAGTGTACAATGTCCAAAAGCATAACCTCCTGGGCAGCATAACGCGGCTGCTTCTCTGTAAATGTAATTATGACAATGGAGACTGAAGCGGCCTCTTTTAAAGTGATTTTTTTTTCCTTCACTTAAATTGTCTTCATTGACTTCACTGGCGTCCTTGACCATTTTTGCTATCGGCGATACCACGTTACTTTAACCTCCTGTCAACATATACCGACTCTTTCATTATGCTTCCATTAAGCCTTGCTGAGTAGATGTACGAGAACATTTTTTATCATCGAAAGTATATTATCATTTATTTTTAGGGCCTCATCCTACATGCTTCAGTTTCTTTTGCTTCCACAGATACTTCAAATATCCGGCCCATTTCCCCCTCCCCCTAATTTCTCCCTGTTTTACAATATTCTAGGCACGAGCATCATTTAAAATAGCATCTTTACTATTATGAGTTTTAAGATCTTTCCAGTGCCTACACAATGCATAAACTTCTTCAGGAAATCTCTTCTAGAATAACGTTTCATATGTTGAACAATACCCTGGTTCACAGGCTGAATCAATGAGACAGGTACATCGGTGAACAGGAAGTTGGTAAAAATGTCATCAGACACTGACTTTGCTCAGAAAGGTGAACCTGGTGATCATACACCAAAAGAATAGCTTGGCTTTAGGTGTGCAATCAGGAAGAAGCCAATTAGAGGAAAAGATCTGTCCATCCACGAATTTTCTGTAAATAAGAGTTAAATATGTGACTTTGAAAGTTCTTAGGTACTGTTTTCCAATTATGAAAAACCTACATTTTATAAGTCTACCGTCTTAGCAGATCAAAAAAGAGATAATTTGTCTTCCTACTGAACATCAGTAACTTTTGGGTGACTGTTAGGCAACGAGATGGGGGTGACAGGGAGGAGGAGAAATGCAAATCAATACAAAACACACTTCCTTCCCTCAGACAGCCTACGGTTAAGTTACGGAGCCAAGTCATAAGCACAGAAAAACAAAACCAAAACGAACGAGAAACAAACCAAAAAGGCGAACAGAAATAATACGGCACATGAAGGAGAACACAGAAAAATTCTATAGACAAAACCGACAAGGCAGAGTCATCTCATTGACGGTATTAAACTTTGTAAGGCTTCTAGAAATCATGCTTCTACAAGTCAGTGATGGTTAAGGAACCGGCCGCTCCCCCTCCATTTTGCGTTCTGAGGAATGGTTAACCCAAAGGACCACAATGCCCTGGCATACTACAAGGGAAGAACCATCTTTGTGCTTCTTCAAGAAGCCCTTTAGGCTCGCAGATGACCTCCTTGTTTACCTGACTCTATAAAACTCCTAGCTCTTTTCCTTTTCTTTGAGTTGTTCCTCATTAAAAAACGTTCTCCTGAATAATAGTGATGATGATGTCTGCAATTCAGAAAGGCTTTCGTGTGTAGTATTTTCCTAATATTTTGTTAATGGAGTTCTATTCTCGTTGATTTAAGAAATAAATGAGGGCTTAGAGAAACAGAATAGTCCTAAAATTCCATGAAAATAAGGAAACTGAACTTTCAAGACTTTTAATATGCCGAAACAGTACCCCTATAAAAGAAAACCCAAATGTTATAAGAATTCGAATTCACATAATTTAGGTAAATCTTTGGCAAGCAAAACTAACATTTTTGGTTGACCAAAATCCACTGTCTTTTCTGATTTATCGGTGTTAAGTATAACATACATGTAGATTTTTATTCTGCTTGGGCATAGTCTTCCAAAATTTATACAGGTTGACTGAATGAATGAGCTAACATTATTTCTACTAAATGTTTGAGACTGTGACAAATATAAATTTGTTAAACCGAGTTGACTCATTATTCTGACCAACTTTATTTCAACAGTACTTATGTTTTATAGTACGTCAGCGTGAAGATAATTTACAAGATCTTCAGGTAACTTAAAACTTTGGATTGACAGTAACTGAGTTAATTACTGGGTATTCACTAGATACCTAGATCATTTCTAACAGAGTACTTGCTCAGCATAATTTTGAGTGCATGTGCTCTTGCTTTTTATTTTGACATGCTACACAGGCACTATATATATTCGGTGCGCTCATGAACACGTGCTTCTCTGCTACTTAGAGAAGTTGTACCATAAGATATTTCTATGGGTATAGAAAGCGGTAGAGGGTTCCCAGAAAGGGAATTTTATTTGTCAAGGTCAAAGCTGGCTACGGTTATATGGGTTTATTTATAAAATCGCCAAAAGATCTTTAGCATCAAATACTGTTCTGGTGCAAAACTATAATTTGGTTTTCTCTCTGTTAATATGACCGTTTTTTTTTTGTTTGTTTTTTGTTTTTGGATGATTGGTCTTCTCTTAATAATGGGTTGTAAAGGTTTGGCTTTACCATCTAAGTCATCTTCTAACAAAGATTCTGTGTCTTACTAGAATAACCTATGGTTTATGTTGACTTTATGTTCTTGATTATTTAAGAAAGCAAAGTCTTCTCACTTAGGAAAGACCTGAGGTTCTTTACAATCGTATTGTCTCCTATGTTCACTTTTAAAATCTTTTATCATCATTTTGGTTAAATGGAGAACCAAATATTATTTTTCTATAACCCGCCATCTTATGTTAATCGTATCCCATAGGGCCACTGGAATATCACAAAGAATTGCTTCTTTCACTTTATAAAAATGAAAATGCTAGAAATAATTAGGTTTGTCTGATACGTTACTACTGATGAGCTGCATAGGAAGAGCTGCCAAATCAGAAGAGATGCTTGGCCTCCCCCGGGTTAAACGGGTATAGGCAAAATGTCATTAATATAAACATTTCAGAAATTTATGCTGTACAGGAAGTTCCTAGAGATTCATCAGCATCCTCACGGGCCATGTGTTTCTACTTGGCAGAGTCCTGCTGCTTTGCCAGATATTAGAATACTGCAGTACAGTGTTTGAAGTCATAATTTTTAAGTTTTTAAGTGTTAACTTGGTTTCGACTTTGCTTTATTATTTTTTTTAATTTTCTTTCTTTTTTCTTTTACTTATTTTTATGGTAACATTGGTCAATGAAATCCAATAAGTTTCAGCTATACACTTTAACAGTAAGGCATATATATATTTACACTGTGTGTTCACCTCCCATAGTTAGATTTCTTTCTGTCACCACATATTTGATCCCCTTTATCCTTTCTACCTCCCCCTTTCCCTTTTCCCCCTCCCCTCTGGTAACCACTAGTCTATAGCCCATGTCCATGAGTCTCTGTTTGTTTGTCCTGTTCATTTGTTGTTTTAGGTTTATATCCCACGTATAAGTAATAACATGTGATTTTCAACTTTTTCAGTCTGGCTTATTTCGCTTAGCAGGATTATCTCGAGGTCCATCCACGTTGTCGCAAATGGCAGTATTTCATCTCTTCTTATGGCTGAGTCATATTCCATTGGATATATGTACCACAGCTTCTTTAGCCAATCATCTATTGTAGGACACTTCGGTCCTACTTGTGTCATGGAAGTCCTTCCCTCAGGGACAACCTAGACTATGGACAGCCCTCGAGGGCAGCGACAGCCCAGCTCCATGAGTGCTGCTGCAGATGGAAGGATTCTCCTCCGCTGATGTCACAGAATCCACTTGACCGGTACCTTCACAGTTCGATTCTCGGCTCTTTACTGTAATCCAACCTTTCATGTTAGTATCTTTCTTTTTCATTTTAGTTCCCCCTTTTTGAAGAGGCCTGATCTGCAAGACCCTAAAACAACTGATTTTTGCCAGCACAT